GGTGTCTTAACTCACCATATTTGAGCCGCATTGTTTGTCTCCACCCTCATGCGTCAATGCAAGGCGTGCAACAAAAGATCTTTCGCTCATTTATTTGAGACGAGGCGGCATTTTGGCGAGATGGATAGGGGTAACCTTCACACTATTTAATGAGACTCGAGAACTTCACTTCTTTCCGCCTCACAAACTCGAAACAGATAAAATTCTGGCTGTCCAACGATGCTCGGGAATTTGGATCAGGGTTCGATTCTAGCCGTCGGCCTACTCTAGACCTTGAAAAACCCGTCGTTCCTTCCTACCTAGGCGGGCAGCTATTCACGTCAAAGCTGGGATTAGTGCGTAGCACCAAAATAGTAACATCCATTTTTTGGAAGCGGCATTTCCCTTAAAGTTCATCGTTCACAAACGGAATTGTTCTCCTGGATGGTTGTACTCATCATCGAACAGGCACTCACAACTCATACAGAATATCAATGGCCCTTTTAGCAAGGTGCTGAAAAGTACACACCACTTTCAATTAACTTCTGAGACGCGAAGGAAGAAGAATTCCTCTAGGTGGGCATGGGAATCTTTCTGAGTCGAGGCAATGGCGATCCGAACGCGAAGAGCACTTTCACCTTTCCCTCGCGGAGAATCTTTACACCCATACGATGACCAATAATCAACCTCGATTCGCTACCTCAGCACTGTATCTGTTTCGCGATATGCAATGGAGTACAAAGACATCTTGAATGCGTGTAGATGACTGTGAATTTCGTTGCCTCTGCAGCATATGAACTACCTCTTTCTGTCTCCCTACAGAAGCAGACAGACAAGACCACAGCCTCCTCCTAGCATTCATACGCCAGAAGGTTGAATCCAGAGAGATAGTGCCACTTCCCCTCATCAAGCGCGGTCACGGAGGAGAAGAGGCGCTGAGTTCATCCGAATAGACAAACACCGCAGGGACGAGAATGCTTTGATATCTCAACTTCTTGATTCCCTGTCTCGAAACACAGCACTGACAGAAATACTCACTTGGAAGCTTGGGATGCGAGTGGCGCGATGCCGCCTTTCCAAAAAAGGGTCCTCTAATTGTTAGATGGGACTAGGCGGCTCTTCTTTCCACCTTGGACCCGTGTCCGCGGGAGATCTGTGCATTGATCTCCCCAACTCTATCTGAGCCACGAAAAGTCGAAAAGTCAACAACAGTGCTCTGCATCCATCATGCTAGCATGACTCCAGCACAACTAAACCCAACGGTATATGCCGTCTACTGGAGCCGCATTTGACTATTAGAAACCTGCATCATGAAGGGTTTCTCCGTTGATACCGCTCTTTCCAAGACACTTCATTCGAATAGGCAATTCCTGTTTGAGAGAGAGAAGACTTCCATTTACGCCGATCCGGACATTCCTCTCGGGCTTCCCCACGCCGATCGATCGGGCTTATTTCTCTCAACATGTCCATGTCTTTCGCTTCGTATGCTTATCTGGATCTAAAGTACAGACGATCTTCGAAAGGGGTAAAGCACAGACTGTGTGCCTTGGCTACAAGCTTCTGGTTCCCCCGCGCTCGGAACGTGGACGAAGCTAACAACGCTGGTCTTCACAACAATTCAAAATGTTGGTCAGAAAGGGTAGTCATCGCAGGGTCATTCTAGCCCGGAATTTCGAAAGGCACAAAGTTGCCTCCCAGTACTAGCCAGGTACAGGTTTCGGATTCTTTCCAAAATGTACGAAAACCGCTTTCGAAAGAGTCTTGAGATTGATAGCTCACGACAGCTTACTATCTGCTTTGCAATATGTGTAGCTTGGCTGATTCCGTTGCCATGGCTTTCATCCGGTTCAAGGATTGATTCGGAAAATCATGTTTTAGAACCAACTCAGCCGCAGACAGCAACGCGAAAGTATAGACGGCCATTTCTGGGCTCTGATCACCCGCTTTGCTCGTCTGACACCGGACGGCCTGCACAGACTCTTGTCAGCCACAACACGAATCCGCACTCAAAAAAGACGAAGCGCTAAGTCAATCCTGCATATCATTCCAGATCCAAGAAGACATCCCAACTAAATCCGGACGAGCTCGATGCAGACGGGTCGAAGTTAGCAACTCTTTTCCTAACTAGCAAGAACTATTCAAGCCTTCGTCCCGCAAAATGGCCCGAGAACAGGGCCAGTCGAGAGCTGACAGGATAAGGCTCTAACCTGGCCGTGTTCCTTCTATCCTGCCCGTAAACTTAGAACAATCACTTGTCAAGTGCGGTTGAAGCAACCCACACCTCGATGGGGGAAAGTTGAGTATAAATATTCTACTTCCTGCTCATTTATTCTCAATCTTGCTCATCAGCCTTCAGAGGTCTGGAGAGACTTCACGTTCGTTTTATTGCTGCGTTTTGTTTCTACATAATGTCTTTAATAGGCAATCTCATCAAGGGGGTTCTTGGAATCGTCGGTGCCTTGACACAACAGCAGACCAATGGGTAAGTCCCCTTGTCTCACCTTGCTATCTCCTAAAGTGCATTGATGACTTCCTCTTGGTATTCTTCCTACTTTCGGAGCAAAGAGCTTTGTTTTTCCCCCAGGACTTTGCCAGCGTTACTTACTACCTTGGAGAGTTTTCATCTATCCTCCTCTCACCTATGGTGTTTCAATTCCATCTCATCTGTGCTGCCAATGTTCACTACTGACTATAGTACAGTTTATCCAAGTTCGGTACCCTACAAGCCCAAACCTTCCCATTATTTCTAAGCAACAATCCTCTTCCCGGTGGGTTTCCCTGGGGCTTCCTCACTGCCGCCGGCAGTAACCCGTACACCGAAGCACCAAACACCGGCGTCATTCGCAACTACGACTTCACTGTCACTCGAGGACAAATAGCACCAGATGGATACCAGCAGAGTGTCATTCTGGTCAATGGCCAATTTCCAGGGCCGCAGATCGAAGCAAATTGGGGAGATGTGATTCAAGTTACCATCCACAACAAGATCACTGGGCCGGAAGAGGGGACTGCTTTCCACTGGCATGGGATGCTTCAGAAGGAGACACCTTGGTATGACGGTGTTCCAGGTGTTCAGCAATGCCCAATTGCTCCAGGAGGCAGCTTCACGTACCAATTCAGAGCTAGTCTGTACGGTACTAGCTGGTACCACTCTCACTACTCAGCACAGTATGCTGGTAAGTTTGATCGTCGACCATATTTCTTCATAACTAATCAAAGTTTAGGTGGCCTATTAGGTCCCATGATCATTTATGGGCCAAACAGCCCAGGCGTCAAGTACGATATAGATTTGGGGCCGATCTTCATCAGTGACTGGTTCCATAACGAGTATGACGACATTGTAGCCGATACGCTTCGACCTGGTGGAAACCCAAGACCCGTAGCAGACAACAATCTGATCAACGGAAAGATGAACTTCGACTGCTCGACAAAGGCTCCAGGTGACAACGCGAAATGTACCAACAATGCAGGACTCTCGAGATTCAAATTCACAACTGGAAAGACTCACAGGTTGCGCTTAATCAATGCTGGAGCAGATTCGTTACAGAGATTTAGTATTGATGGCCACACTATGACTGTCATTGAGAACGATTATGTTGCAGTGGTATGTACTCGTCGCGAGTGAAGACATGCAATGAACAAGTCTGACACATTCATAGAAACCATATACGACCAATGTCGTGACTCTAGGAATTGGTCAACGAACAGACGTCTTGGTCACCGCCAACGTAGGAAATTCTAACTCGGCTTTTTGGATGCGCTCCAATATCTCGACCCTCTGCTCCGCAGCAAAGCAGCCAAACGCACTCGCAGCCATCTTCTACGACCGAGCAGACACGTCAAAGGCTCCAACCAGCACAGCATGGGACGTCCCTGACCCTGGAACCTGCACGAACGACGACCTCACAAAGACCGTACCCACCTTTCCCATCGCCGTCAAGACCCCCGCCACAACACAAACCTACGACATCAACTTCTTCGTCAACTCAACCGGTAGTTTTCTCTGGACACTCGACGGGACCTCCTACCGCGCGAACTACAACCAGCCCGTCCTCCTCCAAGCCGACAAGGGGAACTTCACCTTCCCAGCGGAATGGAACGTGAAGAACTTCGGCAGTAACAGCACCATCCGCGTGGTTGTAAACAACCACTCCCCTGCCTCTCACCCCATGCATTTCCACGGCCACAACATGCAGATCCTGTCCGAAGGACCAGGCGACTATGACGGAACAACCATCATCAATCCATCCAACCCGCAGCGCAGAGACGTCCAGCTGGTGCGTGCGAACGGCCACTTTGTCTTCCAGTACGATGCGGACAATCCGGGAGTTTGGCCGTTCCATTGTCACATCGCTTGGCATGTTAGTGGGGGTTTGTATGCAAACCTCATGGAGAGGCCGGATGATATCTCGAAGAAGTTTCAGACTCCGTATATTATGCAGCAAACTTGTGTGGATTGGGAGGCATATACGAACAGAGATGTTGTTGATCAGATTGATAGCGGGGTGTAAATACTTCACCTAAGCTTGACAAGTGTTGTGATGGGAGGGAGTGAATTTCTTGTAAATATATATATACACATAACTGAGGAGATAAGAGGAGTGCAATGAAAGAATACAATTTAATATTACAGTTATTCCTTGCTCTCGGTTTCTGATCTCCCTCATACGAATGTTCCGTCGAAATTTTTTTCACGCAGAAGTATCTCGTTTCAAGCGAATCCCTCCCCAGACCAGACGAGTCAAAATCTCGCTTGCCCATGAAAATCGTTAAACCTAGATACGCTTCGTTCCATGGCCCAAACATGCAGCTCTCAAGATACTTTCTCCGATATCGGCATCCTCTTCGATGAATCCTCGAGGAGGCCTCTTCCCCTCCCGATATCGGTCTCTGCGCTGCGCTCAAATTTTTTACTATTCAGCTATTTAAATAACAACAATGTCACCATCCAATCACCAAAAACACGATCGGTAAGTCGCATCAACATCGATCATCACTTGCAAACACCTTCTAACATGCGAAATAGCTTAGCTCAGTTGGTTAGAGCGTGGTGCTAATAACGCCAAGGTCGCGAGTTCGACCCTCGTAGTGATCAAAAACATTTTTTTTCCCTTTTTCTTTAGAAAAGACAGGTAAGTGAGGAGTTCTTTTGGCATTGAAGAGCTTGAATTTTGTGCCGTAGAGCGGACGGTAAGCGGGGGCGTGGAGGAGTCGCTTTGCTAAGGGTTGGTTTGTTTTCGCTTAAACTTCGCTTAAACTTTGGGAGGGAATCGGAGTCTATAATAATTCAGTTAAATCGCTGTGTTGCAAGGCAAAATGTTAACTTACCTCCAGAGTCCTCTAGCTAGACTTGTGTAATTGCTTCTCTAATTGCTTCTCGCCTATCTAGAACACTGATAGAGAAATTTGATATCATTCTCAAGTGTCGTTTCAATTCGGCATTCCAAATCATACTGGATCCAAGTTTTCCATCTGTTCCGCAACTAGCCAGCGTGTAACGAAGTTGTCATCGCCAGCTTTGAGACTCTTCTCTCCCTATATTTCTCCCCAGAACCCCGACAAGAAAGCACGATGCTTCACAATCTCAGTTCGAATGGCAAGCGTCCTGCCGGACATACATAAAGTACCGCCGTCAACCCCGTGTTTTGCCGATATTTCGAAGTTGCGCTGCTCGATGTATGCCTTATCTAGCCAATTAATACACCGGTTTATGATTGTTCCGGGTTCGAGACGTCTTGCAGGCTGGGAAGTCCCGACTCCACCTAGTTACGGATCTTCAAAGGGCGCAAGAAGCCAAGGAAATATCGTAAATGGCCATGTTACATCGCCATCAGCGAGAACCACAATATCTGTCTCAACCTCTTGAATAACACGGCAGAGCTGAACACGTTTATCGGCGACTGGAATCAGGGGGAGTTTGGGATTTTTTGGTTTAGTGCTCCGCAGAAATATTAGAGAATTAAGTATTCAGACTTTATAATAACCACAAAAATTTGAGAAGGGTCACAAGCCAACATACTTCATATCGTTTGTCGAAGTTCTTCAATGTTAATATTGATTATAGTCATGACTGCTCTGCAGTTACACGTACCAGATTGGATTTCCAATAGAACTATGTTGTTAAGCTAGGACTTGAACTGTTTATTTAACATGGATGCCTGTTCCCCAGCTAGTTCTTTGATTTTGAATTAGTAAAATTGACATTCTGCTGGCAATTTTGTTCCTAACTGAGTGAGAATACTCTGACCGTGACGTGACGTGAATTCCCCCTTCATGGCTGCTGAAAGCCGTCCATCTTTACCCTCCGATCAGCTCGAGTTCCCTCTGAATTCTCTCCCGCGCATCGAACAGCCTGTGGTACTCGCTATGCGTCATACGCCACGTAGCTGCTTCTAGCTCGGGGGGGTAGCCGGCATGCTCCCAGTCGAAGATACAGGTGACCTTTAGCGTCTTAGGCGAGACCATAATGTTGTGTCGGGCGAGGTCCCCATGGATAAAGCGGAACGGCTCGCCAGCGGACGTTATTGACTGCCAGGTTCCTTTGGGAATCGTCTCGGTAATGCGAGGCGGTGGAAGGACAAAGTCGCTCAGTCCGGTATCGTAGGACATGAGCTGCTGAAGCTGGGGAATGACGAAGTTGGTAATAAAGTTGTCGGCGTTTTTGTTGGCAACATCGGCACAAGACTCGCATTTCCCATAAGAACCGTGGGGTCTTTGTCCCGAAGCAGGTCTCCGGCATTCATTCCCAATGTCTTTAAGTTCGATGTCATATATGCGTTCCATCGTGATAAAGGTGCGGCCTTGGTCGTTTACTCCGGAGTCCAAGAGTCTCGGTACTGGAATGGTGGTATATTCTTTGACAAGATTCAAGGCGCAGGCTTCGTTGAGTAGACGCTCCTTGCCCCACTTCCAGGGCCATGGTTTCCCGTCTGGACCTTTTTGAAGTTGCTCTGGCAAAAGCTCGCGTTTAGTAGAGCTATGCTCCTTCACTACGTATTCTTTGATTGGGAGTTTGCAAACTTCAACGATCTTCCCGTACGGGTTCGGGGCCGGATCCATATTGAAAGAGTCAAAATTGAAATAGTATAATGATGTTCTGATTTTTTGTTCTGGAAATAATTTTGATAGGTTGTTCTGGTGTTAATTAAGAGATACCTAAATCAAAGCTTGGGAGTGGTAGCGTCGGACATATTGACAAAAGACGATCGCGTTTAAGAGTGCGATCACGTGCGGTATCGTCCCTGAAACGGTTAGCGTTTGCAACAATTGCTACTGAGGTAATATATGATTTGCAGATCCTTCTTATTAATATCAGAGTCGTCGGGCCAAGGCCATTGATGCTCTCCTCTGTGCTGCTCTTTTTGTATAAGCATGGTTTCGTGTACTTCATAGTGATACAGTTCCTGGACGACGTTGGAGATTCTCTGAATCTATTTTATTTAAGCGTATAGCAAAAATAATGCGAAGCATACGAACTTACAGTCATCTCTAACTGATCAAACTCCCAGTATATGATCATCACAATCAATTTGCGATAATTCCTTTTCACAAGATGTGGATTTAGAATTAGGTTTCTCGAAAGATCTAGTAACTATTCGTTGGCGCGCCGGTCAAGTTCTATTTAAAGCCGACTGAGCGCATTATGTATTCCCTCGCCGTAGATCAACGGCATATAACTGCCACAAATACTTAGCAAAGAATACGCTCTGTCTTCTAGACGCTTCGTCTCACGATCTCGGGCCTATAACATCCGTTCATAGACTTTAAACTCGGACAAAGCAGTTCCTTAAAGTGCTAGAACGGCGATTCCGGTAACCTCGTAAAACTGTTGCTCTAATGATTTCTTGTCACTTAATCGCCGCCCATTTGAGCAGAAGAATTCGACTAATGTCGGCGCGATAAGCTCTTAAAGTGTCTAACCACGGGTAAACCATCGACTGTTCATAAATGCTACTTCCCACTCCTGTGAAGACAGGTCGATTTAATCATTCGTTGAAACATCTGTCAAATAGACATAGCACTTAGCTGCTTCGCAATACCAGCGAAACACAGAGTTAATAGCTTCCGAAAGCTCACTGTCGCTCGATTTATTGATACAGTAAGTATATACCCAGAAGTATTATAAGCCATCCACAGAACCGAAGCTTTTTACATCCTTCTTTCGTCTTCCCAGAACCATTCTCTATATCGTTGAAGTTGACCTCCGTATTATCTTCTCCCCAGGTGTGTGAAAGTATCGCATACGGCGTGCTAAGGAAGGTGGTATCTTTCGTGATGCTAATTTCGCCATTTTCTTCTAACTTTAGAAGACGCATTTGTGCCTGGTCATTGAGTAGTCCGCAAGTTTTGCGTCCGATGTGGTAAGAGTCCTTTTTGGGAGTGCAAGGATGAGGAAGCGCAAGGAATTGTTACGAATTGAAGATGTTGATGAGGCTGAGGCTCCAGTCCCGCGCCGTTCGCGAAGGTAAGTACGCTGGCGCAATGCGGACGCTTCACCGCCTTTCTCAAAGCGGCTTAGCATTTGTCTTCTAAATTTAGTTCCGAGTATTCTCTCACGATTGCAACCTCAATTAACAGCATGCGTGCTTGATTCTTAAACGGGCCGTCGTCGCCCTTTTTGGGGGACTTTTTTATTAAATGGAGCTAGCTTTAACATCCGAAGAAGATCCTGGGAGCTGCCCACCCGCAATCAGGCCCCCTGATTCGGACACCAACGAGTCAGAGCATAGGCTCCCGTTTGTGGAGTTGCTGGAGGAGAAACTACATTCTTGCCAGGTCCAAACAGAAGAAGGCAAATTTTTTATCCCTAGAGGAGCTCTGGAAGACGCTTTGAATCTAGAAACCGTCCGACTAGCCATAGAGGACTCTCTCCCTGGCTTGACCAAAGATGGCGCCGAGCGATATGCGGAGGAGATTTGCTGTCAAGAGCCGTCTTTCCGCAAGGTACTTGCCGTTTTGGTTTTATCGGATATGATTGATAGTATCGTTCGCTTCATGGATCTCGGCGTGGATGACTCTTGCCTTCCAATGCCAGACCCCAGGTTGTCTAAATCATACGATTCTCCTCATTCTCCTGGTGCAGTCGAAAAGAATCACGGGGGACGCCGTATAGAGTGGAATCGCATCTTCGAACGGAGGTGGTCGCGCCGTCTCAACTTCTTTCAGTCACAGTGGATAGTATTATCGCCAATTTTCCGGAGCGCAAATCAGATAGAGCATTTCTCCTTCAATTCTGAACATATCATGCCATTTCTCGATGCCAGGTCCGGTGCGTCAACAGATTCAAAATCCGACGTCGATAACGTGGAGCTCGGCCAGGTGAGGTATGGTGGATACAGCGAAGTACGAAGCATCAAAATCCATCCTGCGCATGATAACTTCAGTGATTATGGTGTGAGTCTAGTAATTAAGCGGCGCACAGAAATAGATACTTAGCTAACCTTTGGTGCAGACTAGTAACCCAGGCCATCTCTTTGCATTGAAACGGTTGAATACGCATGATGATGGCGAACTTTGGCAGGAGGTAGACATTTTGAAGCGTTTCCGAAACGTTGATCATATAATTCAGCTACTAGCCACCTTTGAAGTCAATGAAGGCTCTCTGTCAAGTTTCTATTTGCTCTTTCCTTGGGCAACTGGGGATCTGGAGTTGCTTTGGGAAGCTAAGCACAGTTATGTTGGAGACTATCGTGTTGCTCCATGGATTGCAAAGCAGTGCTATGGATTGGCGAGAGCTTTGTCATCAATTCATAATGACGACGGTGGTCGTGGTCCAGTAGATACGGAACATCTCTACGGACGGCATGGAGACATTAAGCCCTCCAATATTCTATGGTTTTCGCCATCTCCAAGTGAGATAGATGTAGATTTTGGGCAATTGGTAATGGGCGATTTTGGACATGGCGACTTTCGTAGCAATCATTCGCGATCAGGTCTGGATGCGTCGGCTTTTGCTCGATCACCAAAATATCGAGCGCCTGAATTCGATATTGGAGGAAGAAACATCTCTCGAAAGATAGATATCTGGACGCTTGGCTGTACGCATTTGGAGTTTGTGACCTGGTATTTGATGGGGAACGAAGCCGTGACCGACAA